TTAGTCTATTGAACTCAGTCGGCCCCACAGATTCCAAGGGAGCCATCTTCCCACCACTTCTGTCAGCAGTGCCTGGAGGCAGCATCACCAAAAGATGTTGTAGGACCTTTCCCCATATGGAGCTTTGTTCTTTGCTTCCTTGACCCTGGCATATCCACCAGGAGCAGGCTACAGAACTCAGAGTTCCTTTGTATTTTCTTCTTTAATTGGCAAGGCTAAAACATCTAAAACCCTTCTTTAGCAAATGTGTGTTGGGGGCGTGATAGAAAGATGGCTTAGTGGGTCAGAGAGATTCCTGCATTGCAGGAGTCCCTGCAAGCATCTTGGCAGGCAGGAAAACAAACCACAGAGAGGAGAACGAGCCAGGTGGTGGTGGCGCACACCTTTAATCCCAGCGCTAGGGAAGCAGAGGCAGGTTGATCTCTGAGTTTGAGGTCACCCTGGTCTACAGAGCCAGTTCCAGGACAGCCAGTGCTACACAGAGAAACCCTGTCTTGAAAAACCAGAAGGAAAAAAGGTGAGAGTGAGAGAGCTCAGTTCAGCCCAACTTAGTCAGTGGTCAGGCTGGATCAAATGTCTAGACAGTCTGATGTCAGGCGGTTTATTGTACACATATTTAAACACAATAGAATTTGGGAAAAAGTTTCCAGGCAATAATTATTCCAATTCTAGGTGCACAACAAAGTTGATAGTACGCATGACTGCATAGAAACACCTTTACAAAGTAAGGCGTAGGGCAGCTGTTTTCAACCTTCCTTCCTAACGCTGTGACCCTTTAATACAGTTCCTCATGTTGTGGTGACCCCCCCCACTATAAAATTATTTCATTGCTACTTCATAACTGTGAATTTGCTACTGTTATGAATCATAGTGTAAATATCTGATAGTCAGCCCCTGTGAAAAGATCCCCCTTTTTAACAACCCCACACTTAAATGGGTCAAGACCCACAGGTTGAGAACCATTGGCCTAGGATCTGCTATGGTCTCTGACTAAGATAGTATAAAGGTTATCAGGTTATAAAGTACATGTAACATCTCTCTAATTGTGAGATAAAGATAAAGGTCTGGGGAGAAGAGTCTGGGATAATCATTCTCAGGGATTTGGGTGAGGTCTGGCTCTGTAGATAGCAAAATGTCACCAGGTCACTTCCAGCTTTCTGAATGGAATGCAAGCGTTTTATTTCCTCCATTGAGGAGATACCTCTGTGTGTTTAAGTTTGGACCTCAGCATACAAACGAAAAAAAGAGAAAAATAAAAAATAAAATAAAAACAGTTGTGGCCGGGCACCTGCTTATATCCCCAACACTTCGGTTTGGGGATAGGAAAGTTAGTGGAACTTATTGGCTGCCAGTCTAGTTCCAGGTTCAGCAGGAAACACTATATTTTGTTTTTTCGAGACAGGATTTCTCTATGTAGCCCTGGCTGTCCTGGAACTCACTTTTTAGACCAGGCTGGCCTTGAACTCACAGAGATCCACTTGCTTTTGCTTCCCTAGTGCTGAGATTAAAGGCATGCAGTATCACTAGCCCTGGGTGGAGAAACACTGTCTTAAAGGCATCAGGCAGAGTGACATAGAGTAGGACCCCAGATATCCTCTTTTGAATTCTGGGTGCATTCTCTCTGTCTCTGTCTCTATTTCTGTCTGTCTCTATTTCTGTCTGTCCGTCTGTCTGTCTGCTGTCTCTCTCTCTCTCTCTCTCTCTCTCTCTCTCTCTCTCTCTCTCTCTTTCACACACACACACACACACACACACACACACACACACACACAATGTGAGCCAAGAGGCTATTTTGAATTTAAAATATTTTTCTTGGTATGGTGGTCAGTGCCTGTGGCTTTCTGGTGGCTGGTTAAGGTGAGAGGGTCATGAATTAGAGGCTAGCCTGGTCTATTAGGTAGAGCAGGAGGTGAGGGACCCAGAAGTTAAAGCTTCCACAATCAGCATTCCCTACATATTGAACTATGGGGCTTGATTACATATAGGCAGAAGGAGCCCTGACTCTTAGGCGATTGGAAAACTCAGTAATGTTTATGAAACATTATTAAAGTAAATTAAACAGATCTGTAGTCCAGGTTGACCTTGAACTCTCCATTCCTCTTGTCCTACCTTCAGAACATACAGGCATATGCCTCCTTTAAGGTTTGTTTGTTTTTTTTTTTGTTTGTTTGTTTTTTGTTTTTAAAGCTGTCTGAAATCTGGGAGGTTATTTGTGTGAAGGCAAAAGTCTTGTGAACTTAGGATTTAATGAAAAAAAAGTTTCTTTTTCGGGCCAGCAAAATGACTCAGGGGGTAATTGTTGTTGCTGTCCATCTTAACGAGCTGAATTTCATCCTTGTGACTCCGACAAGTTGTCCCATTCCATATGCACTCTGTGCTGTGTGACTCGGCCCCAGTAATAACACGGATGCTTCTAAAAGTTCCTTTTGCTTCTGGCTCCCAACAATCCCGGCTTTGTGGCTTAGCACAGAAGCAGGTGTTGGCCGTGGGTGTGGGTGTGGCAGGCTAGTGCAAGGGGAGCGGGCACAGGCGCTCTCTAGCCTGGGTTGAAGTGTTCTTAACCAGACCCAGCATTGGCTGTCTCCTCAGAGGACACAAGGACCATGGGCATCTTCCTCCTGTCTTTTGATGGCACACCCTAAAATCCAGGCCTGGGCAATGAGGTTGATATGACTGGGTTTGGGTTTGAAGGAAGCAGTGCAACCTTTCCGGGTCTAGTATATTTTTATTTTGAAAGATGATAAAGGAACCCTTTGTCTCTTTGCCTTAGGTGACTTCCAGGACGACTCTGGAGCCTGAGCATAGCCTTCTGTAGGACTATGCTAGTTGCTGGGGTTTGTCCGAGGCCAGGCTGCCCACAGATGTGCGCGTGACCCCTCCTCCTACAGTCCTTTTTTCACCCCCTGCACCTTCGCTCCCCTCTTATCTTGTCCCCAGACTGAACATGGTTGGAGAGCCCAGGTCTGGCTTTGCCCATCCAGGCCCGAAGAGGCCAAAGGACACGACCTTCTTCCGGTGAGTCCACCCTGTCAGCAGGGAGGCTGGTTGTCCATTTGTTTGAGTTCCCCCGAGATGGACAAGGTAATCTAAAAGGTCCCCTAAGTGTGCTGCCCACCCAGCTCCGGCTGCTCGACTCTGTGACTTATTCTTGAGCCTCGGGTTTTGTCTGTTACTGAGGGAGCCGTTTCATTGCATTCTGCCCTGTCAAGTCTACAAAACCTGACATCCTCCAGCCTGGAGTCAGGCAGTCCTCCAAGGAGAACCCCTCCTGTGGGGAATCAGAAACTTTTCCCCTAAATATAGATGTTTGGGAACACCTGTCGTCTGAATGACAACTTGTCCTTGCCTTGGTATGCCTAACCTAATTTTTAGAAAAACTTACTTTTTTGTTGTTGCTTTAGAATTAAAAAATTATATTTGTTAATTTGCATATGTGTGTTCATATGTGTGTGTTTGCGTGCATGTCTGTGTCCGTGCGCATGTTTCACGGCTCCTGTGTGGAAGTCAGAGGACAACTTCAGCTTGCAGGAGTTGGTTCCTTTCATCTATTAAGTGGGTGTTGGGGAATTAAACTCAGCTGTCAATGTTGGTGACACGCATCTTTCCCCACTGGGTCACTTCACCCATCCAGTTGTTTCGTTTGCTATGCCTTTATCTGTATTTTTATTTTATTTATTTATTTTGTTTTCTGAGACAGGGTTCTCTGTGTAGCTTTGGCTGTCCTGGAACTCACTCTGTAGACCAGACTGGCCTCAAACTCAGAGATCCACCCGATTCTGCCTCCTGAGTGTTGGGATTAAAGGAGTGCGCTATCACCATGAGTTATTTTATTTAAGACAATATTTTTATTCCTTGGTTTCATATCTTTATACAATGCATACTGAGTATATCCATCCACCACTAACTCCCTTCAGCTTCCCCGAGTGCCCATCCCATCTCTCCCTTCCTCTTACTTATTTAATTTTTAGACCGGATCTCCTTTTTTAGCTGGGGCTGCCCTCAAACTCACAAAGATCCTCCTACCTCTGTCTCTCAAGTGCTGGGACACTTAAAGATCTGGGTGCACCCTTTCTGTAGGTAATGAGTAGAGCAAGAATCACCTCCATAATCCAAAAATCCATTTACTATATAATCCTTGGATAGAGGGCATATCAGATATTAAAATAATAAGAACAGACTGGGCATAGTGATTCTAGCCTTTAATCCCAGCACTTGGGAGGTAAAGGTAGGTGGATCTCTGAGTTTGAGGCCAACTTTGGCTACATAGTGAGTTCCAGGACAACCAAAACTACATAAAAAGACTTGGTCTGGAACAAAACAAAACAAAACAAAATAAATAAAAAATAAGAACAGAGCTTGTGAGATGGTGCAGTGGATATAGGTGTTTGCCACCAAGACTGACAACTTGAGTTCGATTCCTGGGAGCAAGGACACTAGACTTCTTTGTTAGAAGGCTCAGAAGCCATCAATTATGCTTCTTCATTTTTATTTTTTATTTTTTTAACCTGGCCATTTTGAGGCTACTGGGGTCCTGTACAGTTGGTCAGTTTTTAACACTTTCGTCAGTAAATTTCATTGTTTTTCACTCCGACTTCTGGCCTACGAAGCTTGGATCCAATCCTGTTAGCCTGTCGACAGGGACTGAGGCTCTGTTCAGCAGAAGGGCTTCTGGATATTCAAGATGTGGGGAAAGGAGTGTTTGTTCCTGCTCCAATGCTCCCAAGCGGAGCCCGGATTGTTTTTTACCTATAGAGCAAAGGTTTACCCTCTCTCTCCCTCTCCTCCCGCCCCTGGGAAAAAAAAAAAAAAGAAAAAAAAAGGCCAGGCTGGGGTCGCAGCAATAACCCCTGGAAGTCCCATGTTTGGGCATGGTAGGCTCTCTCACTCTTCAAAAGAAAAATAGTAACTTGTGCATTGGCCGGGAATCGAACCCGGGCCTCCCGCGTGGCAGGCGAGAATTCTACCACTGAACCACCAATGCCATGGTGTAGGAAGCTGTCCTGCTGGTTGTGATGTTTAGATGCTGCCGTGTTTAACCGGTGGACCATCGATGTTTCGGAAATTCATTATCTGGAGCCCTGGATACAACCAACGCTCCACTAATCAGACGCACATCGCTAAGGAGGGCAGCATGTCTTTCTTCCTCCTACCGGCCGGAATCCGAAGCAGCCCTGCATATCCTCTACCGCCCACCCAGACCTCCAGAAGCCAGGAAGCAGAGGTGGCCGGAAATCTCATCACAGTTCTGGGAACCCTGCAGGCTGAAAGGACAGACCCGCAACTGTCCTTGGTTTGGACCTCGGAGTCTGTCTTTGAGCGAGGCACGAAGGCGACAGCATCCGGAGGGCTAAGTGTCGTAACTTTAGACCCCCTTCCAACTGAGCACGCTCACCAGCCTCATCCCGGCAGGACCCAGTGCTTTCTGTGTTAGTGCCAGCCCTTCACGTACCGGAACTCACTTGTCTGCACAGATCCTTTATCTCTCCGTGTGAAGAGGGGTGAGACTGCCGCTATGAGCCTGGCACCTTTTGGAGCTCGCCCTTTTCCTTGGCCTGCAGCCAAGGACAGGTGGCTTGGTAGTAGCCTTAACCTTTCCTGCTGGCCCCGAGTATGCTGGCATACTCACATGCCGGGACTAAAATTTCCATACCCACACTGAGATCTTGGACTCTGGCTTAACTTTTCCCTTTCATCCTATGCCGGACTAAGATCCCAAAGATCAGCAGTTCCTGGCTCAAGCAGAAGAGCCTTTGGAGGGCCAGGCTCTAGCTGGACGGCCAGCTGCCCCTACTGTCCCCCTACTGCCCCCTGCGGAGGGTGTGGGGATAGCAGAGTCCAATTAGAGAAGCTGGTTTGTTGTAGTCTCCCAAAATGACTTTGGGCAAGGTCCTAACATTCAAAGGAAGAGCTGTAAGTGGGGACAGGCTGGTCAGTAGTTCAAGGTCAGCCTCAGCTACAAAGAGAATTTGAGGCCAACTATGGCTATGTAAGACTGATGGAAGGAAGGAAGGAAGGGAGGGAGGGATAGAGGGAGGGAGGGACGGAGGGAGAAAGGGAGGGAGGGAGGAAGGAAGGAAGGAAGGAAGGAAGGAAGGAAGGAAGGAAGGAAGGAAAGACATTCTTGCTCTCCCAAGTTGATCTGAGGGCCAGGCAGGCTCTGGTTTCCCCTCCTCATTTGTTACCACAGCAGTGGTAACTATGGATTGAACACTGTGAGTCAGAGAAGGCACACTCTACTAGTTAGTGGGTGGGTGGGTCTTGCCAGCTGTGTCCTGGGGAAGAGGGGTGGGTGGTGGAACAGGTCGACTTCACTGCTCCCTCCTCTCCTGTCTCTTCAGGGTGGATAAAAGCAAAAAGACCCCTCTACTCATCAACCAGGTGCCTGCCAAGAGCCTCAGGACCCACCTAAGTCCGAGGGTCAAAAACACCTACCGCCCTTACAAAGCCTGCAGGGATAGCCGTCTGCCCCTGGGGCAGAGAAAGTGTGAGTGAGGGGCACAGGCCTCATGGTCAGTGCTAGGGAGGAGTGGGTGGCCTGAACTGTAGGCTGGCATGCCCTGGCCGTCTGTATTTGCTCTCTGTTCCTGTGGCCTGTGTTCCTGTGGGCATCAAGCCTGCCCCCTCTCTCAGCAGTCCAGACTGAGGAGCTGGATTCCCTCAGGAGGGAGCTGAGCAAGATCAAAGCCCAGGTGGACAGTCTGTTGAAGAGTCTGGAGTCCATGGAGCAGCAGAGGGATCAGCACACAGGTCAGGTACTCAAGAGGGTTCTCAGGCCACACCCTCGGTGGGCCCCAGTTTTTCCTGTTCACTAGGGGGTTTTGTCTGTGGCTTTCTCTCACTGTTGTTGTGGCTGTTTTTGCTCTTTTATTCTTTAGGCTTTTCGAGGGGCCCACCACCCAGCTCCCAAATAAATCACACATGGAGGCGTATTCTTAGTTATGAATGCCCAGCCTAAGCTTGGCTTGTTTCTTGCCAGTTTTTCTTAAATTATCCCAACTACCTTTATGCCTCTGGGCTTTTATCTTTCTTACTTCTGTATCTTTCCTTCTCATTGCATGGCTAGTTGGGTGGCTATCTTCCTCTGGTTCTCTTGCTCCTTCGTTTCTCTCTTCATACTCTTCTGCCTGCCAGCCCCGCCCATCCTTGCTCCTGCCTTGCTACTGGCCATTCAACTTTTTTATTAGGACCATCAGGTGTTTTAGACAGGCAAAGAATCACAGCTTCACAGAGTTAACAAGTGCAGCATAAACAAAAGTCACACACGTTAAAATCATATTGCCCAACACACTGTAGGCCTCCTTTGCCAGTATTGTGATTCTGGCTGCTCCATGCCAGGGGACCTCTGTGACGTCTATGTTGTCCTAATCTCTCCCGATGTCTGGAGTCAAAGCAGCTGCTCATTCTCGTGTTCTCTGCGTTCTGGATTACTGCTGGGTTCCTGCTGGAGTCAGCTGGGACGTCCAAACTGACAGTTCTCAGAACAGGAACAAAAGGGAGTGGGAACAGGTGTCCTGGAAGCAGGGCTCCTCACCCCAGCAGGTGTCCAGGGGCGAAAGGTCTACCAAGATGCTGCTCAGGGGAAAGCACAGACAAGGGGCAACAATGAGTGGTCTGCTCTCCTTCACCCTACTTGTGTTTGGGTTCTCATGGCCACTCTGTGAGCAAAGATAGGGCACTCTGGTTTGTGTAGGAACCGGTAGTCGTAGGGTCCCGACAGGCTTACAACCTCTACCCAAGAGCAATGCCTAGGACAGCCACCTTCTGCCTGCTATCACACCTTGCTTTTTGACTTGGGGTTTGATTAGCCCAGCTATACCAGGGGCTACTGCTAGGCATCTGGACACTTGAGTTTGTCAGCCCTAGGTTGAAATATCTTCTGGAAAGGAAGCTGAGCTTTGTAGATTCTAAAGATGTTCCATATCTCAAGCCCCTCCTCGTAAACTTGTTTCAATTTGAATTTCTGCCACTTTTCTGGCTTCATCCCATTGGTTGCTTCTGGCTCTTGGGGCTGCATTGTACCATGCTGCCCAGGGAGGCCATGGCATGTTAATGTTTCTAGATTGAGAAAATCCAAATCTGAACTGGTAATGGCCCTTTGTGTAGCAGTAAAGGGCCTGTTTTCTCTGCCCTCCCGTATCTTCCTCTGTCACCCATGCCCCACACTACTTCCCAAGTCTGTTCAGCAAGTTGGTAGTGGTGAATTCCCTCATGACCCCTGGCCTAACCCAGGCTGGATGGGCTCAAAAGAGTGCTTGCTGCTGCCTAGGGCCTAAGTCACAACAGCCCCGGAAAAAGAATGGGCTACAGGAGAATGTTTGCTCTTGCCTGCTGGTTCTGGGTTTCCAGGCTTCAGTGGTAGCAGGTATGCTTAGCATGGACAATCTCCAGCACCTCTTCCATGCCCGCCAAGAATCTAAACTAGCCTCAACTTACCAAAGATCCCAGGACGGAGGGGTAGGAGGAAAGCTGGGGGTACTAGATTTTAGCTGATGGTGTTTCCTAAACTCTACCTCCCACCCTCTAAGCCAGCCCCTCCTATTAATTCCACAGGTGAAGACTCAAGCATCGGACCAGGATAGCCAGGAGGTGGGGACCCTTCCATGCTCCACTGTTACTTCTTGGGTGGCTTGTTTCCTTGCCTTGTTTTTGGAACATTTCTGGTCACATCCATGCAACCTGAAGTAACCTTTCTGGAGCTAGGGCAATGCAAATAAAAGCATGGTTCAGCCAGTCCACCCAGGAAACCTCCTGGTCGTTGTGGGCTTAACTTTGAGGTCTTTTCCATGAGTCCGGGGGGGGGGGTCGGGTCTCACAACTAGCAGTATCTCACCATCCTCACTGAATTGTGGTCTTGCAAGAGGCACCTGACAGGGCCCTGAGCCCCCACCGAATGCAGACTGCCTCTAGTTTCCTCCTTCCCCATGAACCACTAAACCAGGTGGAGTGGCGCACTTTTCTGCAGCCACAGTAGTGAAACACACTTGTGTCCCTATAATGACACTGAGCTGTGAGGTTGTGTGTGTGCCCCTCTAACCAGCCCCTCTTGGTTAAACTCACCACCATGTACCTTACAAAGCCATCCTTTAAAAGAGGTAGATAACTTTTGTTTGTTTGTTTGTTTGTTTTTCGAGACAGAGTTTCTCTGTAGCTTTGGAGCCTGTCCTGTAACTAGCTTTTGTAGACCAGGCTGGTCTCGAACTCAGAGATCTGCCTGCCTCTGCCTCCCGAGTGCTGGGATTAAAAGCGTGTGCCACCACCTCCCCGGCTTGGTAGATAACTTTTATGTCTTGTTTTTATATTGATTTGCACTATTATAATACTAACTTCAGATCTACTCTAGAGTCATGTCAGAAAGGAAAAAAATAAAAGTGTATTTCTTCCTCCTGGTCAGGGGTTCTTCCGTGGTTCACATAAGCAGCTGAGCAGACGCCCTGGGATACCTAAACTTAATAGCAGTCTCACACAGCTTCCAAGTAAAGATCAGGAACCCTACACTCCCAGCCAGTGAGGCCAGCTCTGCCTTAAGGAACAGCCAAGCTGTAAGTGGTGCCAGTATTTAGGAGCTCTTCCCCTTGGTAGTTCATTGCTACCCTGAGCCTTGTTCCGAGGCGCCAACACTGAACAGGAGACACCAGCTAATGAAGCCAGTCCAGGACTCTTCTGTTTTTTTGTTTACAACAAAAACGATTTCTCTCTGGCTGCCCTAGAACTCAGAGATCCACCTGCCTCTGCCTCCCCAGAGCTGGGTTTAAAGGTCTGTGCCATCACACCAGGCAGGGCCCTACTTCTGCAAAGCTATGGAAGCCTCCGGTTCTGCTATTCTACTGGCCGAAGGGGGGGGGGGGCAGGGCTTCCTTCCAGAGCATAGTCCTTCCCAGCTACCCAATCCCTAGACATGCATCTGTGCTTTGGCAAACCAGAGAGGGAGGATAGGTGTGCACTCAGCCTTCCGAGGCCATTTAACTCTCCCGTCCTTTTGTCAAGATAAGGTTTCTGAGTAGCCCCGGCTGTCCCGGCATCGCTGCAGATACTGCTCCTGGGGCAGGCGGTTTCTCCACTAAAGCACACTACTCCTTCTCACTTACGGTGAGCTAGCAGATGGGAAAATTATAGGCAGTACTGACTCAAGCCATAGACAACACAGACTCAACACAAGCCCAGTTCAAAACAGCATTATTGCTAACTCTAGTACCAAGAAAAACAATCACAAGATGTATCTTCAGATATAAAAAAGTTTTTATGTTTTAGTTCAGGTAGTGAGAAGTCCCCTTGTTCATCCTCTCAAAAGATGTTTATCATACACTGGAGCCAATGGCTGATCTGTACAGGGTCCATCCCTTGGAGTACCACAACCCCAGTCTCATTTACCAGGTAATCCTGTTTAAGTCGTTTCCAACTTGGGAGTAAGGCTTCATGTTTTTGTTTTTCCAACTGAATAGAGACCGCAAAGGCCCTTTAAACCGTTCTCACGCAGTTGTCCAGTGCTTCAGTTCTGTGCGCGCTACCTCCGCTTTCATTTCTCTGTGCAGCCAAGCCAGGCGACCAAGAGCGCCGGAAGAGAAGGGCGACAGCAGTTGTCCACATTCTTGTCGCTCAGGTTTTCCAATCAGGATGGGGCGGCGGCGCCTCTCCGGCGGGCTGCCCGCACCAAGCACTGCTGCAGCACTGGATAGAGGCGCTGGCAGCCTTCTAGGCCCAGGCGCACCGCATCCGTCCAACTCTCAGTCTGGCCGCCTTCCCCGCTGCCCAGCAACCCGGCCACCTGGTTGAGCACCGGCATGAGCGCCACCGTGAGGCCAGCGGCCGAGTGCTCCTCCTCGAGGCGCGTGGGGTCCAGCAGCCAAGTGGGAGAGGGTCCCGGCGTGAGGCTCAGGCCGCAGCCCACCACCAAATCGTACATCTCCACTCCCGCGTCGGCCAGGGCGAGCGCGGCGGCCGTGAGCGCCGCGGCCAGGGCAGAGCCGCCGTCCTCCAGCAGCAGCGCGGACACCTCGAGCTGGGCGCGAGGGTAGCGCCCCAGCCCCACCGCGGGCTCCAGAGCCTCCTCCAGCGCCAG